ACGGTCGTAGTCGGAAAGGAAATGAAGTGACGCGGGCGCTGGCTCAAACGGTCTAGGGCGTACCACGGCAGCGTGAAAGGAGACCTATGAATATGAAACAAACGTAAGAATGTCTGCGGGATCGATGTTGCGCTCGCTGGGCACATCACACGCGAGTGCTGTGCATCAATGACTGCATCGCGACTTGTCTCTTTTTGCATGCCATGCGGCATGGAATCGTAACGCGCAGGAAACTCCAAGTAAATGCTTCATGGCGCTATGGAGCTGGCACAGCGCCAGGCCGAGGAGTGCTTCTCAGCACACGCTGTCCATTCACTTCCAGCCTGAAGTGGCTGGCCCAAATACAATGAATTCGTACACTAGCCAATCCTCCCACCCCACCAACATCCCCCCGGCCCATACCTCCCGGGGTTGGTGGGGATGAGCGTCGCTCTGTAAACATGTGTAGCTCACATGAGAAGATAGCCAACGTGATCAAGCACTCGGACAGATTCTCTTTTAGCACGAGTGGCAGAAATCCCATGGTTCCCGAGAGAAAAACTCTAGCGTTTCGCTAGCTGATCTCCAGGGTGGGTTGGGTGGGCACTTGAAAGTTTTGCCCCCCCCCGTGTTGACGGGGACTAGCCAGACATATCGGAAGAAATTCCTCAAGGCCATGCCACATTAGCTTGCTCTTTGAGCTAGCTTTCCGTTCGTCCCTAATAAGCTAGCTGAGCGCTAGCACACGTCAACAAAGGCACATGTCCGCATGTAGCAAAATTGCACCTGTAACATGTCTGGACAAGAACTAGCTTCCGCAGGCTAACCGCCAGGGCGTTAGGGGGGAACACCTTCGATGTTCCCCCAAGAGCATCAAGAGCATCGGCTAGCATACACTGTCGTAACAAGTCACGAATGCGTACACTAGCCAATCCTCCCACCCCACCAACATCCCCCCGGCCCATACCTCCCGGGGTTGGTGGGGATGAGCGTCGCTCTGTAAACATGTGTAGCTCACATGAGAAGATAGCCAACGTGTTTTAGCACGAGTGGCAGAAATCCCATGGTTCCCGAGAGAAAAACTCTAGCGTTTCGCTAGCTGATCTCCCACGCACCGACGAACGGTTACCATGGGTCTAGCCTCCTGGGCCTCTTTCTCCGCCCCTGAATCGGGGCCGGCCTCTCCCTTTTCCGCACACTTAGCTCCTTGTAGTAGCTTCCCGCGTGCCCAAGGAGAAGCCCAGGATGCGCCACTCTAGCTTCTCCCCCTTCACGGCGATCCGGAAATCTGTTGCAAAGCGCTTGAACTCCTCGTTGGTCAGATCATCCGCTAGCTGATTGAGGTCTCTGCGGATCCACTGCAGGTCTAGCTCGCAGTTCCGGGACATAGCCGGCCCCCGGTCCGGCACCTCCGGCATGGTTCAGGCGGCCTTGTTGGCCTGGGGTGGCTCACCCCGCGTGTCCTTTGGACGCTGCTTGGACTGGAAAAGGGGATGCTTAGCGTAGCATCGTCTGCACACGTGGGCAAACTTGCACTTCTGGCCCTTCTTGCAACCGCCCTTAGCCTGGTACTTGAAGCAGATTGGCTTGCCCTCGGCGGTGCGGCTAGGTAGCCCGGCGCCTTTGTCCCCTTTATCGCCCTTTCCCCCTCGACCACGGGGGGTTCTTCGGCTTGTTGGGGTCCTCTGTAGCGATAGCTGGGCTCCCTGGCACGTTCGGCCTCTTGCCATAGAGGGCTAGCGGAGTCGTGAAGTGGCGCTCCTTCACAGAGGGCTCCTTGTAGCTCTTGACGAGGGCCTCGCCAAAAGGCAGGCCGTGGTTACCCATGAGCTTGTAAGCATGCTTTCGGATAGCATGCTCGTAGCAGCACCAGCGTCCACGGCGGGATCATGCCACCGGCATCATCCCCGGCCCGGAGACCATAGCAGTAGTCCCCCAGCAAGTACTCCTTGTACTTCTCGAAGAGCGTCATCTGGACGTCTTTTAGCTCGGGCCGGCCGGGGTGTTTTAGCTTAATCATGATAGAGGTGGTGGACCCTCCCTTCTTCACGGATAGCTGGCCCTTGGCATTCCAAGTGGTGACTAGCACGTCGGGGTCCACCTCATCCCGACTGACGACCTCTGTCAGGGGCTCGGCGCGGAACTCCCCCGTTTCCAGTTCGCACAGCTTCTTCTCGATGTATTCCTTAGCAGGAATATGTTTGTCTTCTAGCTCTCCGAACTGGGAGGAGTACGCATTCCTCATAGCGATATAGTCCGATTGGGCTATCGGCTTCGCTAGCTGGAGAGTCTCATGGGTGGCCTCCACCTCTGCTTGGTTCTTCACCCTGGTAGCTGCGGTGTTCCAGGCCACGACCATGCTAGCTGCTTGCGCCCGGTTGGCCAGGCTAACAGCCGGGTCTAGTCCAAAACCTGAGGAGGAACCTGAGGTCTGAGGATCCCTTAGCCAGCTTCTCCTCTTCTGTGGGGGCCGGCGCAGGCGCAGCCATGCTGACTAGCGAAAGAAGGAGGACTAGGGACTTTTTCCCGCCAGCCTACTTCGGGCATCCTAGCGATTAGGGGTCGTGGGGTCTAGTCGCCGCCGGGTCCACCCTTTGGCTTCCCCCCCAGCCCTCCCCCCCCCCACCTCCCCTGGCCCACTCTCCCCACACTCTCTCTCCGCTCCCTCTCTCGACCCTTGCTCGCGTCCGACTTTTAGCGGCAGGGAGCCGTGTCGTGGCTCCTGCTACCTAGCACTCGGCTGGTAGTGGCCTGTCAAAAAGCCGTGCACTCTCCTAGCCCTAGCCTACGGCAGAGATCTAGCTTTTACTGGCTGAGCCTATGCCGGCGGCTGGTTCAGCTAGCAAAAGGGCTGCTAATCTTGCCTAGAAAGGCTAGCTCTAGCTGCCTCTGTCGGGCGGCCAGTCGGGCTAGCACGATGGCTGTGGCAGCTAGCGTCGGTACCGCTTGCAATTGTCGCGGTAGTGCGACTCATGCTGGTCGACGCAGTACCACATGCGTCTATTGCATGCTAGCACTTGGCAGCTTGCGCAGACCACCACACAGCGGAATATCCGGTTGGGGACATCCCAACGTCCCCACCCGTAGCAGGTCCGACCAGTAGCAACCCTCACGAAGGCCAACTCAAAGGCCACCGCCTCCAGTAGCGTCTGGACCCTAGCGCAGCCCACCGGCGCCGGGCTGAGGGTCGAGACCAGGAGGAGGTCTAGCGGAAACTGCAGGTCAATGTCCCTGACCGCTTTTGCATGCTCGGAGTCGAGCCCATTCTGGGACCTCCTTGGCTGCTGCGTTGGCGGCCCGCTCCAGGATCCCGCGGGCCAGAGCGCAGTGGGGATGTCGCCCCATGTTAGCTCTAGTCGGGGCCCCCAGGGCACAGGTGTCGCAAGCAGCCGGCGGTGGGGCTCAAGGTAGCACCCTGGACTGGCCCCCGGATCCTCGCACGACGTGGGTCTTTCAGGAGGTCCTCCCACTCGACGGCCCTATCGCCCGGATAGCGCCCCGAGAGACTATCCAAGAGGCTAGCCCAGTTGCAGGGTCCAGGCCAGGCGGTAGCAGCGACGGCACCATCTCCCCCTGGTCATTGCGCATGTGCCCACGGCTAGCATGTGGGGCTCTGCTGTGGGACCTGATGCCCTCTGGGGGTTCGGCTCCGGCCATATCGAGTAGGCTAGCTTGGCCTCCCGCAGTGCTAGATTGCCCCGACGTTGCCATAGCCACGACTACCTCCTCGTCAGCGCACCATTGGCCTCCGACCCAATCCACCTCCTTATCGATTTTGTTCACGCTAGCCGCGCTTAGGCTAGCCGTGGGTGGTGGCGGAAGCGGAGGTGGCCCCATGGTAGCTGCACCCAGCCAGCCGGTAGCTTTGGTGGCGCCTTCACCGGGGAGCCGCAATCCTAGCAGCCTCCTCCTCTGCAGCAGCTTTAGCCTCGGCTGCTAGCTGCTCCGGCATAAAACTGTGGAGGGGCCTTTGTGGGAGGGGGGTCCTTAGCGGGTACCCCCCCCCCGCCGCCTCGCCTGCTAGCCACTTCTCTCTCCAGCCGTAGCGCTCGTAGCAACTGCCCCAGCTTTTGCCATGGCCCCCATGCTCTAGCAGCTGCCGCTGCAGCTTCGGCTGCCCGAGCCGCCTCCTCCAGCCTTGTAGCCTCAGGCACTAGCACCCTTAGCTGGAAGGGCCCCAGCCTCCCTAGCGACCGCCGCGAGCTTGTTGGCCAGCTCTGGGTTCTTTGCTAGCTGGGACCTCAGATCCTGCGTCCCTGCAGTGGATAGCAGGTGTCGCACTTCGGCGACTAGCTCACCCACTGGCAGGTGCTCCCGGGCAACATAGCCTGAACCGGACATAGCTGGGGCGCGGAAGAGGCTAGCTGAAAGGCTGGATAGCTGGGGGCTTGAGAGTGCTCTCAGTCACATGCCGGCCACCTTGCTGGTAGCAACTTTTGCTCAAATTTAGCCCTTCAGGTAGCAGTCTCCCGTGGGGCACATGCCTCCCAAGCTTTAGCATGCACAAACCGGCACGCAGCTCTAGCGACATGCAAAACCGCCTTACAGCAACTGCCCTAGCTTGACTGTCCGGCGAAACCTGTACGGCGAACCCTCCCCCTCACCGCTGGGCACCCACTCTAGCCTGGAGCCCTGGGAACCCGAGTTTCGCCTCATGGGGGCTCGCTTGGGAGGGCCCCGGGAAAGGACAGCGCGTAGCAGAAGAAAGGCATACAGAAGCCACAGCGTAGCAACACAGCGTGTCCCTCTGCTGCCTCTCTGTCTCTTGTTCTTTCTCCTAGCTTCCCCCACCCCCCCCTCCCCCCCTTGTCTTCCCGTTTAGCGGAAGCGTTGTGGAAAAAAGGGGGAACTGGGGGACAAGAAGATGGGAGCTAGCTGCGAGCCCTAGCCGGGCCAACATTTTGCTGCGGTCGACTTGCGCATTAGCTGCACTCTTACTGCTGGGGAAATTGCCAGGCTGCCGCCGCAGCTTGTAGCTGCAGGCTAGCCCAGTCCGGATCCCAACCCCCCGTATCCTGCCATGGCATGGCGGGTTGCACTTCTAGCTGCTAGCTCCGCCTGGCCTTCTTCTACAGGCTGCCCTGGGGGGGGGATAGCTTCATCTCCCGACCCCGCAGCGGAGGCCTCGCTGAGCTCATCTTCACTAGCAGTAGCAGCTGCATGCGGCCAGCACAAATGGCACACGTGAGCACATTCGTGGCCAGCTGGCTTGTCTAGAAAATCGACAGAATTACGGAAAAGCCTACGTCGACCCATCCAGCAGCCATAGCGTCCTGCCTTGTGGAGACGGAACTTAGCGCCGGGCAACTCGACGACCACATAGTTAGCCACCCGCTCGTGCACTCGAGCCTTCTTAGCAGCCACAGTAGCTGGGTCGCCTTCTGAGCCGCCATCCGAGTCACTAGCCACACTCGCGGGAACTGGAGCCGGGTTGTTCTCCAACGGTGGCACATCTAGCAAGCCGTAGGGCTGGTGCAGGGGGGTGTTCTTCCACTGCAGAACTAGCGGCTCTATGATGACGGCGGTCGCATCCGAGGTCATCCTAGCCCTTTCCACCAACCACAGTTGTAGCGGCCAATCTCGCGCTCGTCGAGCTCGACGTAGCGGTCCGGTGCCCTAGCTACCTGGTGGGCGAACTGGGCCACGCGACCCGTAAAGGATCTGGCGTAGATGTCGGAGCCCTCAGGTTTCCAACGCCCTAGCAGGTCCTTGTCAGCCGGCTGGACATTGAGCAACGAGAGGCCCGTCGGTAGCACGGAGCGTTCACTGTGCTCCGTCCAGAACCCAAGCACCTGGCTAGGTAGCTTGAGGCAGTTGTAGCCGGTGATCTGCTTAAGGAGAGCGAAGCCCGTCTCTAGCCAGCGGTAGTCCACGAGGAACGCCCGCTCCGAGATGACGACGGGTAGCTCCTTTACCCTCCTAGTGGGGCCTGAGGTCTTAGTCTTACGAAAGATCGTAACCAAGCGGCCTTCCACCATACTGGGATGATGGCCTGAAGATCCGACCATCTTAGCGAGCCCCATATCTTGAGGAGCTTAGCCCACGTCCAGATGCGCCATCCAACGGTTTGCCCATTGTTCTCCTTGGCCGCCCAGGCTGGACGCCCAAAGGTAGCTCGTTCCCCAGAAGGGAACTCCGCCACCTTCTCCATCCAAGCGATAGCTTTCAGTAGCGCCTCTGGAACTGTGCGGCCACAGGGTTCGTCACGCCTAGCCATGAGGTGGTCGACCAGGTCGATGGGCCTCCCAGGCGGAAGGCGTAGCTTAACCTCACCCAACCACAAGCGCCACTGTCGGAAGAGAGTGAGGTAGCGCTTCAGCGTGGACGTACGAGTGGAGCCCACCAGTAGCAGGACGGCTCTATCCGGGTCCAGGCTGCCCTGTAGCTTGAGAAGGACGGGTGCATCAGCTGCCACGAATCCTCATGTAGCTTTTTGACCCAGATAGCCATCAGCTTCTCTTCCCTGGCTGCGGCTTCGGGGGCGTAGCTTTTCCCCTGAGGTTCGTGTAGCACGAACTTGGGCTGCTCCTTGACCTGCGCGGGCGGTTGAAGAGCTAGCCAGGTGAGGTCGTCGCGCAGGTAGCCGGTGGCCCTCTTGAGGAGCTTGGACTCCTCCTTAGCCTCCTCTACCCACACCGCGATAGCATCGGCAATGTAGTCCCCCGGAGGGAGCTGCAAAACGTCAGCTAGCTGACTGCCCATGACGCGGCAGTCGGCCTCGTCCAGAGTAGCCAGTTGCAACGGCCCAAAACCTACCTGCTCAAGGTGAGTGTAGCACTGCTCTAAGCAGGTCCGTTGGCTCGGCTGCACCAGCTGCACTAGCGCATCACTCGAAGAAGAGGCCGCCATAGCAAGCGATATCACAGGATATCGTCTCTCGCTATCTAGCACTTGAAAGTTTTGCCCCCCCCCCTGTTGACGGGGACTAGCCAGACATATCGGAAGAAATTCCTCAAGGCCATGCCACTTCGAGCTAGCTTTCCGTTCGTCCCTAATAAGCTAGCTGAGCGCTAGCACACGTCAACAAAGGCACATGTCCGCATGTAGCAAAATTGCACCTGTAACATGTCTGGACAAGAACTACCTTCCGCAGGCTAACCGCCAGGGCGTTAGGGGGGAACAGCTTCGATGTTCCCCCAAGAGCATCAAGAGCATCGGCTAGCATACACTGTCGTAACAAGTCACGAATGCAAGGTCCAAACCGATACGCTGCACCAACAACATGTTTCTTAATGGTGTCCGGTGGCACAGCAATGCGCGCGCTGCCTGCCCCAGGAATGTTGGGGGCGGCGTGGAAATGTTTGTAGTTGGTGAGGAGTGTTTTGTGCGTGTGTGTGTGTGTGTTGCACCAGCATTGCTCGAACAATGTTGCATAGCGCTGGGCTCGCGGGCGACCCCATCGGGGCACATCTCTTCTGTCTCAGGAGAAAAGGTCCAACCATGAAGGAATTTGCAGGATGTCTATTGAGCCTGTTCCCGATTCTCAATCATGGTTTTACGCCAGGACTCAATGGGGTTGTCCAAGATGAAGGCATGGGTCAGGTAGAGCAAAGCAAGTTCCTGGTCCACAGATATGGGACACGTACACAATACGACATGCATATCCTTACTGTAGATCCAGACAGTGCTTGGACTCTGCTTACTGAGAAAAAAGATCCTTCTGAACTTCTGATTTTCTGAATGGGCACCGGAACTTCGGCTACAATACAGGCGAATGTGTGCTGCACTTCGAGCGCCGGACTCTGCTCCTGTCCTAGTCTTCTAGTTGAAAGAGGGCGCCCTAGTCGTCTTGAAGGAAAGCCTGCCGGCGACTGCATCACAGAGTTCGATTGACGTCGACGACATTTTTGCGAGCAACGACACACTGGACGACGATTTCGTGGAGAAAATGGCTGCCGCCCCGACTGGAATACCTTTGCATGAATACCGTCGAATCGCCACGAGCCTCACTGCTGAAGCTTCCAAGGCCTCAGACATGAATATTAACGCAGCACGTCCGCTGCCACTGGTGGCTGCTGGTGACGACACGGCTGGAAGCCTCCCAGCACCCCCCTGAGGACCAATCGCTCACGAGGAGACCCGCACGTACGCACACATTCGCTGAATGGTCTTGGTTTCCACGCAAAGCATGACGATGGTGGATGCTTTGACGAAGCCTACGACTCGGCCACTGTTGCTCTACCTGATGCCTTGTGACAGTGCGCTATTCAAGAATGAGGATCCACTGCTACTTCGACGCCCACCTCCTGTCCGGGACTATGACGAGAACACGAGTCTGGAGTCCGACGCTCGATCAAGAATTTCATAATTCATGGTGATCGCGCTGGCAACGCGTCAAAAAACCGGAGTTAGTGGCATCTGCAGCGGCCTCAATGACGGCGAAGCCCAGCTATTGATCCACGGCGGCCGGAACGTGATCTACTTCGTGGAATCTGCTTCCACCAGGCCGTGACCCAACTCGGAGGACTCTCTAGCGTCTAAACTTATGACTCACACATCGGTCCAGAACAGGCGGAACAGGAACATCAACGACATGAGAGTGGCATCGCAACGCCCCCAGTGTGACCAACTGAAGAAGGGGATCTTTCTGTTTTCGTCATGGGTCGGACCTGCACGGGCTTTCAATGCGTCATGGGTGATAGATCAAATCACTCAGCAAGGGCGCCTGATTCAGCGTTGCGCGCGCAAAGCCGAGGGTTCAGTCAGCCAGAAACAAGTAACCCACGCCTCTTCTCCGTCCCGCATGTAGTCGTAGAATGCCTGGAACTGCGTCACGAACGAAGGATAACGAAGGCATATGACACCGTGTGCTGAGAAACGCATACCACGATCAGAGCAATATCGAAATCGTCAAATGAGCACGCGCAGAACATGCCAAGAGCAAGCTCCACGGCGCCCATCTTGGAGGAGCTTGCAGGCAAAACGAAGTAATGAGCCGAAATGTCGCTGGCAAGCACGAACCCGATTCACAGGCTACCACAGTGCTATCTCTGCCACATGAGGCACGGCCGAGGGAAAAACATGCACCTGTCGACAAAATCATCAACAAAACACGTACCCCCAAAAGGGGAACAGTCCCAGAAAAATAAACGGGCAAGCTATCACTATATCAGGCCAGATCTTGTTGGGTTTAAGGTCCAGGTTATGGGTCATATGTGGTACGAAAGGGCTTCCAATGCCAACACATCGGAATCAAGTCACACAACATGCCATATCACTCACAGAGTAGGGAGCCATTAGGGAGCAATAAATCCGCACTGTTTTGCATATGTTTCATGTGGCAAAACATGAACTGCCTGAGGACACAACAACCAAAATGAGCACATTTTGACGAGCACATGGATCATCTCAACTCCCACACCCTCACACACCCTCACACACCCTCACACACCCTCACACACACTCACACACCCTCACACACACCACACACACACACACCCCACACACACCCACACACACCCACACACACCCCACACACACACCCACACCACCCACACACCCCACACCCTGCGCGCCAACGCCCAAACATGCACGCACGCAAGCACTCACCCACCCACCCACACACCCACACACCCACACACCCACCCACCCACACACCCACACACCCACACACCCACACACCCACACACCCACACACCCACACACCCACACACCCACACACCCACACACCCACACACCCACACACCCACACACCCAAACACCCACACACCCACACACCCAAACACCCACACACCCACAACCACACACCCACACACCCACACACCCACACACCCACACACACACACACACACCCACACACCCACACACACCCACACACCCACACACACCCACACACCCACACACCCACACACACCCACACACCCACACACACCCACACACCCACACACACACCCACACACCCACACACCCACACACCCACACACCCACACCCGTGCGCGCCAACGCACACATGCACGCACGCACGCACGCACGCACTCACTCACCCACCCACCCACCCAGGCACGCACGCACTCACCCACCCACCCACCCACCCACGCACGCACGCACCCACCCACCCATCCACGCACGCACGCACGCACCCAAGACAACACCTTACCTTCGAGAAACATACCTCCGATCTTTGTCCTATCGAACTGTCACATCGCCCTACTCCCCACGATCAAAGCACATCAGAAAACCATGCTTTGAAGTCTTACAGCAAAAGCACATTCTTGCACAAACAAAAGATGTATACAAAATGGAGCTGATGCAATCTCACGCACGCCGCCACTTAACATCGTAAGCCCTCTGTAAAAGGCTTCAGCCACCTGTCAGCACAGGCCACACCGATACCCCGCATCAGTTTGCTGACAAGATCTCTCTCTATCTCACAGGCAACCCAGGTGCCGGTGGATCTGGCGCGCCCTCAGGCAGGCTCCACAGAGACCGCAGGCACTCCATCCCCTGACGGAGAGGGGCAGGGGCGCAAGCTGAAACACTTCAAGCCTGAAAAAACCGTGACTGGTTAGAGAAGTCAGAAACTTAAGAAACCCTAAGCTCTCTCCTTTTCACGGCTGGCCTTCTGGTGCATCTTCTTCAGCAAAGGCACTTGACGCCGCCGGAGTTGGCGAAGGTCGTAGCAGGTGCCCTGTGCAGCTCAGTGCAACTCAGGGACGTAGGAGCCCAAACGGGGGGTTTAGTTGAGGCAGCTGTGTGCAGCTTTGGCCAGGTTGACGTTGGGCAACGTAGGGCTTTGGGGACTGCAAGGGACTTCACAGAGCCTTGGTGTTGGGATTCGGGTTGAAGGTCGTCGTGGGGAAGACTCTTTATTGGCTTTCAAACCTACCAACTCATATCCGGAGCCGAAGCGCGAAACTAAGCTCGAGCAGCCAGGGGCCTTGGGCAGCACCAGAAGGTGCTCCTTGCCCACGGGGAAGCGGTGCTTCAGCACCAGAAGTTCAAAGGAGCGATGGAGCTCGGCAAAGTCTGTCGGGCTGTGGGTTTGGGCGGTTTGGGATTCTGGGGACTTTAGGCCCTTTGCCGCCTTCACTTTGAGCATCCTTTGTGGCCCAACTGCCCTAGAAGCTCTGAACTCTCAAATGCCCAAGCCCACACTCTCCACGGCTACCAACGCTGCTTCACTATACTGAACTTGAAACCCTAGCAACAAAAAAACACAATTTCAGCTGTTGCTTAGGAATTATAGCACCCAAAAATTTTGGGGTTCAGGGCTTCGGGTCCCGCCTGGGCTTCCTGCATCCAGGACGGCCTGCCGGGGCAATGCAACCGCTCTGCATGACGAGTTGGCAACTGGCGCTTGGGATCTGGGCCGTGACCTGCTAAACTGACTGGCTGAAGAGAAAACATGGCAAAGATGGGGCGTGTTTTTGTGCGGATCCGAGGAGGCGAAACTGGAACTACATGCACCGAGATGACCCGAGCATGAAGGCAAACCCACCTACGAAATGGTCTGCCCAGAGCAAACCAATCACGACAACTAAGTACAAACTTGATTTGCCGTGGTTGCAACTGCAGTCCGCTAGCCTGAATGCTTTCCAAAGCAGCATATGCTTTGGAACATGTGACAACACTCAAAAGCCAAACCCTCAAACCCCTCAAGCCTTCGAGCAGATCCGTACCTTTCACCCGTCCTAAACCCTGGGACCATAAGACCCAAAAAATTCTCAAACCCCAAAGGGTCTAACTACGGACCCCAAAAGCGCTGCCCGAAACGACTTCCAGCGTTGCCTCGAGCAGCGGGTCCCGGCCCATGACAGCGATCTGCGCATCGCTGAGGGCCTCGAAGTTTGCAAGGCCAAACTCAAGCCTCAAACCATCGAACCCTGAAACTGCCGAACAACCCAAAGCGGCAGCAACAACACAATCCCGCACGGGACACCGAGCCCAGCCCGATGTGAGGTCGAAGGGTTTTGACTTCAGGACTGGGGGCCTCAAGTCCACAACACGCTTCATGGAGCAAGTGAGCACACAAACTTAGCACACAAACTTGGCTTTTCTGTGCCGAAGCCAAAACAGCTCCAAAGACCGCGAATATCCCCAAGACGGTGGAATCCCGATCTCCGGAGATGCCTCCCCACAAAAGGTACAGCGCTCCAGAAGCAGCGCGCTGGGTTTGCCTGGGGTTTCGCAGATTAAGGCCTAGTAGTTGATCTGACATGTCTGACTCTGCATGGGCATGTCGTCATCGATGGCTCATATTGACCAAACCCTGCGCCCAAAGCCCGAACGCAAGGCTCTGCAGGTTCAAGAGTGACCAAGATGGCAAGGGGAAGCCTTGGAGGGCATTTCCAATATCCTTTTTTCTCAGACAGCTAGCCCCAAAAGCAAGTCCAAACAACATTTCGGACAGCGCTCGTTCGCGGCCGTCGAATGTTCGCATCATTCTATGGCACAGGATGGGATGCACACTGCAAGCAAACTGCGTGCTGACAATATCAAGAGGTGTGAACTCGCACCCACTTTACCAACGGAGCTGAAATGGTTTCGAGCACAGACTTCCGAAAGCAGCTAGCTTGGATGGACTTTGGGCCATACATTCTAGAAACAGGAGCCGCTGCTCTATCAATGGAACCACTAAGCCGCGGCCGACGTGCCCGGACCAGGGGGGATCACCCCCCGCCCGCACCCCTCACCCCCCCTCCCGCACCCCTCACCCCACCTACCTCCCCCCCCAGCCCGCCCCCCCGCCCAACCAAAAACCACCCCCCTCACCCCCACTACCCCTTCCTGCTGCCCTTGCCGAGGCGGCCTCACGTTAGCGATAAAGTTAACCTTTAAAGCTTGTGTTTTTCTGCCCAACTAGTCGTCCCGGCCGCCGCAGCTGCAGTACTTCTTGTGCGTCTTGTTCGTGAAGAACTTCTGCAGGCTGGCGGAGTGTAGGTGCCCGCGCACCTGAGGAGCTCGTGCGCTTAGCTCTGGGGGTTCATGCCTTTTGGCTCGGACACCCGGTTGATGGCAGTCGTTAACGCGAAAACCTGCCCGAAGCCCTTGACATTCTGAAGTCTTCGACTCTGCAAGCCTCAACGGGCCCATCAACATGAGTCCTACAACCGCAAGCGGCCCGCCTGCAGCACCCCGTCTCCCCAGCGTGTGGCTGTACGCACAAGCCGCGCCGTGCGAAAGCAGAGCCCGACCATCGGAAGGGTCACAGATATTGAGGAAGGGCTCTTTGGATTTGGGAGTTCAGGGAGCTTAGGGAGTTTACTGTACTGAGCTTGGGGTCCCGAGTTGGGGTAGTGGCTCACAGGGTCCTGCAACTGCCTGGCAAGAATTTCAGGGATTTAGGGCAGTTCGTGTCTTTAGGAGCTTTAAGAAGTTTAGGGTCTTTAAGACCTTCAGGTGTTAGGCTGGCTTTAGGGTTTGGGAGCCTGGTAAAACCAACAGACAGACTTTGTCGGTGCAGGAACCATGGACGTGCAACGTGGCAACGCGTGCAACATGTAACATCTGCAACCCACCACACGTATTAAGGAAGCAGGCCATTGAATTTGCATGCCATGTCTGTCCCCCTCACAAAGCGTGTACCCATTGCAAAATTGCTTTGTTGGCACAAAGGCACCAGCTTATCAGCAGGACCTGCAAGGGCAGTCCCCATCTTCAAGGTAAAACTGGCAAAGCCCAAGGACCTTGCCAGGGATGTGCCTGCTTTCACGTCTTCTCGACGGCAAGCCTGAAAACTCGTGACTGGTAGCTTCAAGCAAAGCCAGCCAATGGTCCGTCTCGGAGGAAACCAACCACATCGGAATCATCCAAGTCACCATCCGAGTCAACAGCAACCGTCAGGATCGAGGAGAGAGACTTGGGTGCTTGCGGCGCTAGCTTGCCAGTCTTGTTCTTGTATCCTGTGGCCGACACGGCTTTCTCAAATGCCGGTTCGGATCGCAGGTCCGTCAGTGTTTCTGGATGCAGTTGTGGCTGGTTCAGGTGCCAGGCCATGTTCTCGAAAGTGGTCAGGAGAGACCAGCCATCACCTGCACATGTTCTTACACGACTGCTTGCTACTGTCATGCTGGTCCTATCACGTGGCCTCACCATTAGCGAAACAAGCTACAGCATAGCTAGCGTACAGCTGATGCTCAGTCAAGCACTTCAAGGCCAGAGCTAGCAAACATAACACTCCTCCAAAAGAAACACCGGGCATTCGATCTACTCTCCTGCAATCGGCCTTCGTCTGGAGACGATGCGCCGCGTGCCGTTCCACGCAGGCGCGTCGGTGAGGGGGCAAAGGCCGCCACGCTCTGGGCAGCGAGCGCCCACAGGATCATGGAGTAGTTAGGGCTCATTACCGGAAACTCTGCCCGAAGTAGAACGTCAGTGGGTACAGTGTGCACCAGGGCTAAGAGCCAGCGGCACCAATTCCAGGACATCCTCAAAGGACACTGCCATCCCGAGCTGCACCCCAAAAAGCTAGACTCATGCCCGACTCATCCCTGACTCTTCGACGCTCAGGCGCTCCCATTTTGCTGTCTGCCTTCAGTGAGGGCTTATAGGTTGCGTTTTTCTTCGGCAAGCCGATACACCCCAAAACGCGCACGAATTTCAGCCGTTTGCACAGCGGGCTCATACGCTCAGAAATGCTGGGGGTCACTATCGGGGAATGAACTTCACATTCGATCTGCAGCTGGCAGTCGGGATCAGAGTCTTTCCAAACTGCAGATGAACCGAGGGGCTTGCAAGAAACCTTTCAGGCTGCAGGAACACACAAAGATTGGAAAAGAGATGAGAGAGAGGAGAGAACAAGAGAGAGGGAGAGAGAGATAGAGGAACAAATGGAGACAGCGAGAAAGTTGGAGAGCATAACCCAGGTTTCTCGTAGACACCCCCCTCCCACTCGGTGTTTTTTGGGGGGCCGCGGACTGTGCAAACGGGCGGGGCTGGGCCTTTCCGGTCTAAGCTGCTCCTGCTTGAGACTTAAGAACGCCTAGAAGCTATCGGCCGCTTTTAACCAAGCGTCCGATGGGGCCTAAGAGCCTAGATCCCCAAAACCACGCAGCACAGAAAAGAGCGACTGTGACCATCAAGGATTCGGAAGATTCTGCAAAGAATCTGGACCCCTTCGGGGATCCTTCCTGACATGAGGCCAGACACCTGATTTGAGACTGTTCTCGCCTGGCTCAGAGTCCGGGAAATGTAAGAACATACTCTACCAAGTTCCCCAAACCTTTAACGAAGGAAGTTCCACATACATCTCAGACATTTCCCGATATGCGCAGCAGCGTTGGGGAGCGTCATCCAGGGACTTTCTCGGAGTATTCAAAAATGGCCCATTAAGAGCAGTTCGAGATCTTCTGCGTGTGGAGGCACAATAGGCATGGAAGTAGCAAGGAGCATGCTGGCTACTTCGTTATGCAGGAAAGCTTCAGATTCTTCTGGTTCTCTCACCTCTGTCAAACACCTCTGGCTTCAAAAGGTGTTGGGATAAGGGGCCAGCGGAAGCCAGGAGCAACCCTGGTACTAGTATCTCTTTATGCCACAACCCGACACTGCTGACACATGTCATGCGCAAGTCGGTATAGTTCAAAAACATCTGCACGAGAGCTCCTCGTGGAAACAGATCCCCCAGCCATGGGAGGGTCACGGGAGCGAAAATTTGCAGGGCGGGCACGGGCAGTCGGTCAACGCTTAGTGACAACATGCGCAACACCAATGTCTCACGTCTTTCTCCTTACTCGTGCATTGCCCGGGCACGCATGACGACGGGGCTTGTTTTCGCACAAACCCAGCATGCTCTGAAAATCTACAGTACCGAGAACAGTCCAGAACGTAGGAAACAGCACTGAGACTTCGCGTCTTCTGCTCCGGCTCCGATCTGGGGGAGCCGGGGCAATGCAGGTGGCTCTGCGTGGAGTACAGCCAGCCCTTCAAGCACCCGGCACCTGGGGCCTGAGCGATGCAGGACTGGCTCTCACTTCCCAAGCGAGCCGAGCATGTCGTCACGACAGCCCGGCAGTCGCTGGGAAGGTGAGCTCAGCTAAACTCTTGGTGGTAAGTGGCCTTCACACGTTTGGGGGAAGTCTAGTCTGCAACACCATTCAATAATCATTGATCATCACGTCATCTTCATACTCGCACCATCTCCAGCACCCTACCAGCACCTGCCCCCTCTTCCCCTACCCTGGTTCCTCCTCAGAAGTATCTGAAGAATCATCACGAATGGCAGCATCAATGCCATCTCTAACAGCAGCGAGCACAAGCATAGTCAGCAATGATAGCCTATGTATATAAAAAACCAATCGCTGCGGCGTTTGTGAGATTAAATCACCACCACCACCACCACTACCACCGCTACCACCGCTACCACCACTACCACCACTACCACCACTACCACCACCACTACCACCACTACCACCACTACCGCCACTACCGCCACTACCGCCACTACCACCACCACTACCACCACTACCACCACTACCACCACTACCACCACTACCACCACTACCACCACTACCACCACTACCACCACTACCATCACTACCACCACTACCACCACTACCACCACTACCACCACTACCACCACTACCACCACTACCACCACTACCACCACTACCACCACTACCACCACTACCGCCACTACCGCCACTACAACCACTACCGCCATTGCCGCCACTACCGCCACTGCTGCCACTACCACCACTACCACCACTAACGCCACTGACACCACTGCCACCACTACCGCCACTGCCGCCACTGCCGCCACGACCACTACCGCCACTTCCACCACTTCCACTTCCACTTCCACTTCTATTTCCACTTCCACTTCTAAACCCTACTTCTACTTCTACCTCTACCTCTGCCTCTACTTCTACTTCTACTTCTGCTTCTACTTCTTCGACGACGACGACGACCAAGTAGTACTACTACTGAGTACTACGACTAAGTGCTTACGATTCGCTCGTGTACTTGCACATTGAAGCGAAGGCCAACCTCCCCCAAGCTTTAACTCTCGTAACTCCACTGCTGCGCCACAATTGGCCCCAGTAACAGAACCAGGCTGTTCCAGTGCTTCAGGCTTCTCATATCTTTTCAACGAACAACTTATGCTGCACAGGAACTTTGTCGAGGTCAGCCTTTACCATCTATTTTTGAAGCACACGGACTTGCAAACATTGCCCCGAATTGTTCGGCAGGGGCTTGCAGGCCCTCGCAAGGTACAGCCCCAACAGTGTCATGCCGCAAATGCCAAAACCGCTCACCACTTTGCGAAGTTTTTTGGTGAAGCAGGCATCTCATGCTAGATTGCAAGAGCAGCTCAGATTGTGTTTGCTCTGCACATCCTGTAACCCAGGCTCCCTGCACACGCAGAGACACGCACACTGGCCGTGCGCCATTGTTTCGGATTTGAAACTAATTGAGATGTAAGGCTTTCGGCTGCTAACGAGTGAACATTGTGCTAAACAACACATGATGCATCATGTCATACTCAGGCAGTACTTGTACCAAACACACGCTCTGAAAAGGCGGCTGCGTTGCCAGGCCAATCTCGTTCAGCTACAGAGTATATACTGGGGCTTGTACTGCAGAAGGTGCGAGGTCTTGTCGCATGCCTTTCCAGAATGCTACGTACAATTATGGCCAACAGTGCTCAACATATCACTCGAAGGAGATTGCGAAGGAAATGGGTAACCATTGAATTCAGGCTCTTAGGAACCCTTGGCCAGTGGATTGCGGAAGCCCGTGAGATTGCCTGCTTTCTCGTATTTGGCCACGACAAGGGGAGAAGTTGCGAATCGTTGTAACATGATCAAAACATCGACGCCCCAACAAAGACTACGTTTTGGACAAAACTCAAACAGCCCTAAAACACCAAACTGCTAGAAAACGAGCTGCGCCAAAACCTGGTCTGTTTTAAGTTCAGGGGTTGCCAGATCTTGGGCTAGGCGCCGTGGGTTGAGTGAAGGCTGTACCAAACCCTGATCAGACTAAAGAATATTCCCTGCCTCCCTTGATATATCACCCCATTGGTCCTCAACCCTCAGCTGCAAGCAACAAAGAAGCTTCGCACCCCTTGACGTGGTCTGTGAAAATCCCGGATTCGGGAAACGGAACCAATCAATGCTGGGCTGAAGAAGCTTGTGCTGGGTAGGTCAGGCTTCGGGGACTTGATGCCCGTTACATTCCAGCGCAGGTTTAGGGCTTCGTGTGGGGAATCTGCCCACCGAACACACTCCTCTCAACTGCCCCACTGTGCCCTTGCCATACCACCGCGACATGCAGCAGCTCACGAGATGCGTCCCACGATTTCAATCGATCAGCGACTTTGAGGGGTGAAAATGTGAAGCACCTTAGCACCTTCGTTTGGCTCTGCTTGAATCTTCAACGCACCGACAACTGCCCAACTGACACCAACACCCCACAAACAACGAGCCCTGAATCCCGAACACCCGTGACCATGAGGCTTGCTGTGCTTCGTGCTGAAGAAACCCAGACGGCTCTCAGGTGTTCCTGAAAAGCAACTCATGCTCCCGAAGAACAACTCTTTTCCCGAGCTCAAGGCCCAAACATCGAACCCCTTACATCCAAAATTGATCTGTGTTGTAAAACTCGTGAATCCTGGTGGGTCGCGGCTGGGGCGCTTCTCACTCAACCCGCTCGATGTCGAGCGACATAGCTTTTGAGCTTCGACGGATGCAATCCGCGTGTAATTGAGTACCGAGCCTTGCGAGAGTTGATGTTACTTCCCGGGGGTGAAATTTTCGACTGTCACGCTCGTCAGTTGTGTGCTGAGCAGGCTTAGAGGCCGAGTGTGGGCGACATTTGCGGGTCTAGGAGGTTTCGAAGTCACGTCGAAGGTTCAAATAAATCAAGAAGGCAGCTGTCGCAGTCATAGGATTGAAGGGGCGGCAGCACAAATCGACAGAAACCTGTACATGGCATGGACCCGAAAGAACTACACCTAACTATCCGAAACCCCACAATATTGACGACCAACGACACCCAGATATCCGCCTCCTGCACTCTTGCACTGCCCACCCCCATTGGGCAACGCTGCGCGGGCTTCTTCAGCTCATCGTCACAGCCTCGCTTGCACTTGCAGCCACTTGCAGCTTCGAGCTGAAGCAGAGAAGCACAACAAGCCCGAGCTCACATTCAGCCCACAAGAACAACCCCGGCCTGGGGCACTCCGAGGCTTTCAGGCTTTCAGGCTTTCCCGATCTATCTTCTAAACATCAGAATCATCAGACCTCAACATGACATGCAACCTGAAGCGGGACAAGCAGAAACTACGAGGAGGAACATGGCACACGCAAATACAGGCGGCCACGGAGCCTTCTCCTCTACCGGAATGTCCTCTTCCATCTCACCCTCAAGCCGTTCCAAAAACCTGCGCTGCGAGAAGGCTTGGGTTGCATCCATCAGGTGCCCATGTTGGTCATGTCAGCTGCCGAGGCTGCCGAGGCTTGATGCGAAGTGGCCCTGCTAGCGGTTGGTTCGCAGGAGCAGGGGATCCACTGATCTGTTGATTGGTCGACTTCGAGGCTTCGGCTGGTTTAGGGCCTTCGGGGTTTACGGCGGCGTGTGGGTTTGGAAGGCCAAAGCTTGGGCAACATCTGACAAATCAGGAACGTTGCCTATACCCTACAAGTTCCGGCAACCGGAAGCCTTGTGCCCTGGCAATGAGCCGTTGACCGCCATTTGGTCACCGTAAACAATAAGCCTTCTGGGAGCACTCCAGCTGAGCCTACACCCCGATGCCCCGAGCGGAGTTATGCTCGCATGTTTTCTGGTCACTCCAGGTCAATGTTTCGTTGTGTTCCTACGGCGCGCTTTTCGCTGCTCCAAATTTTGCTGCGTCGCTGTGCATCTTGCACTTGCAGACTCAGGGTGACTTGTGGAGTTCCTGAGCCTGTTTTGAGAGGCTGCGAATCCCAGAAGTTCTCACCTTCGGTCACCAGACGTGAAGGCTGAGCATCCAATTCATGGGCGGCCTCTTCGTGTTCGCACCCGACCATCGCTGTTTCAGGTCCTGCACATGATGAAGAGATACCCTATGTGGTTCCGTGTTAACTCCCTTTCTACTGGGCTCTCTGAGTCGAATCGTCCATCCCGACGATACCAAATCTCCGGCCGTGGCACAAGGCTTGGCAAATCTGTCAATTCTAGCAAGGTCAGCTTCTTTAACCGGCCACGACGTTGTTCATCTCGGTAGATAGCTGAAGCACAGCCAAAATTCAGAAACCCACGCCATGAAAGTAGGCCTTAAACACTTTCACAGCGTGCAGGCTCTTATATCACATACACATATCATGACCACGTGACAATAGATACGGAATGATACGAGTCCTTTGATCTTGGGTCGGAGCGGGCGTGGGCTAGAAATACCCATGTCGTGCTTGCCATATGTAAGCCTTCGGGCATGTAAGGTTCAGACTACTGAATCAAGCACATTCAAGCACACCATCTCATTGAGTTCAGATGTGTCCGGGGATCCACCAACTGGAGCTCCATTCCCCAAGGCAACTCCAAACCCTTTAATGTGGGGCCCCAAGCACGAGGACCGAAATTCTCATGACGAGATGCAAAGCTAAGCGAGCAAGGGCTCTGAAACCCTGAGGCCTGACCACGGTAGATTTCCATCGTCGGCAACCTCGGGGCGCTGCTACACGCCATGTTTGGCACTGTCCTCCCCATCTACCAAAGTGCTACAGCTGCGTGTCACAGCCCAAGGAGGCAAGCCTTGAAGAGCGAGCTCTTCTAAGCTGTAGCGGTTGTTGGTACATCCCATCGGATTCGGAAAGCGCTTTCTGGCTGAGCTTCTGGCTTGTCCACGCTCTTGCCTGGAGGTTTTTGGGGTTTTGCCAAACTCTGAATCTTCTGCCTCCCATCTGATGGGCCTCGCAACAGCCATCTGAATCCCAGAGCCCCTCAGAAACGAGAGCCTGCAAAAAGCTTGAAAAAACCGAAAGAGGCCCCCCCCCCCCCCCGAGTTTCTAAAATAAAAATCCCGAAAACGAGCCGATGGCACTCTTGCAGAGCTCCCGAGACCGCTCGAAGTCCACCGAGGCAAACTCCACATTGCCTTGGCTTGGGGTTTAGGGTTTAGGGGTTTGGGGGCTTAGGGGTTTAGGGGTTTAGGGGTTTAGGGGTTTAGGTATTTAGGGTTTAGGGGTTTAGGGGTTTAGGGATTCAAAGGTTGAGAGCTTTGGGCTTGAAGGTTCGGCTTCGGGTCCTTGGTTTCAGCTTGAGGGCCTCAGCAAGGCTCCTGCCTGTAGCAACAATGCACTCAACAGGCATCCTACTTCCATAGAAGGCCCATGAAAGAGAAGATGCCAGGCTTACAATATCTTGCAACGCACCACTGAGCCTGCCGCGGAATTTTTCAGCTCGTGCAATCCTCGGCGGAATGAGGCGGTGGCCAGGATCGAATCTTATGGGTTCCCTCAGGGTGTGGAGTTAGGGTCGAGGGTTTAGGATTTATTTTGAAGGTCATGAATTGAGTCAAGGGTGCTCGGTTCTGGACAAGATGAAGTCGAATGTCTGCCAACTGTCGTGACATGAAGGTTAACTTGGGGCCCAAAAGGTTTCCTTTCGGAACGCCGCCCTGCAGGGAAAACCCTCAACGTTAGCCTGAAAAGCCCACTGTGTTGTCGGCTGTCAAATGATTAGCAGGCTTTTAGGAAATCGCTTTCGTATCCAACAAGATTCTATGGGCCGCAGTGCTGATCCCAAGGCCAACCGAGATCCTCCCATTCGTTCCTGACCGTTGAGAACAATTTGGCAGAGGCTCTTCTGCACATAGCGGAGCAGCTTTTGGCACGCCCTGGCACGGCAGGCAGAGTCTGCAAAGCTTAGCCTTGGGGATGTGGCCTAGCACACTCTGGCTCGAGACTTCAAGCTCGATGCACCAGCAAGGCTCAGCGAGAAGCAACTTAAAACGTTGAAGCACTGGCCTGCACCAGGGCGCCTGCCAAAGTCTTGAAAACAACAGCATATCGGTTTGGGATGCCTTGAAGCGTTGAGAACGTCAGGTTGAAACCACTGCTATCTGTTTTTGCCATGTCGAAAAGTTGAGGAGAGTTCATTGGATTCAAGGACCTCTACGTTCAATGAACAGCAAAACACAGCCCCCGTCTGGGGGAGGCACATAATAGTCCACGACGAGCAGTTGGCCAGCCTCATCGGAACGTTTCCGATTCGGGCTCCAGCGCGGTTGCAGGCTGCAACAGGGACAGTTTTGGATCCCTAACAAAAGTAAAGCAAGCATCAAGCAACTGCATTCAGCAAACCACGACACCTGCGTGACCTTGTTGAGAAGCTCCGTCAGCTCATCCTTCCAAAAGATGCGTGTCTCCCAAAATTGCAAGAAGTAAGGGCTTCAGGGGACTTGGGGTCGCAAAGCTCTTTAAATCCAGTCTCAACGCTTGCCATTTACCAGGGCTGAGAAGGTTCTTTCTAATCATGTCTGGAGCTGCGTCACTCCTAAGGCCACCAGTGACGTACTTTTTGCGGCCTTTTTTGAGGCATGCTCCGGCTCGACTCTATCTTCACTCCCAAGACACCAGCGACCTCGGTGGTCAGCGCCACGAAGTTCATGCCAGGAGCCGCTGCATTCACACGCAGCCTGATGCTCACACAAGGGTGCAGGTAGACATAGGAAGTTGGAGGCTATCTAATGCAATGAGGACTTGGTGAGCATGCGGACCTTCCTGGTTCAAAAGAAAATCTGTACTGCAAGACCTCAGCTCAGGCGACCACCGATTCTGATCGCCTTCCGAAATGTCAGCTTTTGTCAGAGGCTCCTGTCCGAGTCTTGAACCATGTCTGGATGTGAAGTCTGGGCTGAGTCTCAAGTTTTTTTTGAGAAACTTCAGGCGGTCACGCAAAGGCAGCTCCGAGATGGGGGATTACACCCTAAGCCTAAAGCTGCAACAGATTTAGGTAAAGCTTAAGTCAAGTTGGGGGAAAGTATGCTCTCTTTGCTTTAGGTGGGTAGGTCAGATGCTTTAAGCGAGTTCCGCCCAGTCAAAGCCCTACATCCGAGCCTAAAGGGCCTTACAGGGAAAGTGCAAAACACAGTCATTGTCAGACAGCGGCCCTCCTTTCAGCACACCGCCACCAACGTCAAGGCAGCTTTCAAAGCTGCAGGCTGTAAGAACGGTGGTGCCGTTTCGGCCCTCAATGTACAAAGTACCAGCGGCCTCGCAACTGCCCCAAGCTCTCGGGAAGAACTACTCTGTAGACCCCTCAGAACTTGAGTGTGCAGTTGCCCACTCTCTGCACAACCATCTTGAGCTCTGCATCGTCAATGCATGCATGTGCCATGGCCCAGGCATCCCCTCGCTTTCCATTGACCTCCAGAATGCGGTCTCCCTTCTGGACCACCTTGCTGGGATTGGCCGCATTCCAGTCTGCCAGGAGGCCGGTGGCACAGACCACATACACGATCAAAGCTGTGCCTTCGAAGAGATCCACGTCCATCCCCAAGGAAGAGCCTGGAGACTTGCGTAGCAGCACCGTCCACTCCGTGCTGCTGGGGCCCTTCTTCTTCATCTCTTGGAGGCTGGTGACATCGGTCAGCACGTCTCTCACCTCTGTCGCTGTGCAGAGCTGGTTGCCCATGGCTGCGTCACTTTGGCTGGTAGCAAACCTTTATACTTAGCCCTGGTGATAGATTCCAACACACTGGTCCATAACGCTGCATGCATAAGTGTGGGACGCATCAGTTTTGAGCCTGTATGCACAAGACTTGGCTGCTCTGTTCATGGTATCCTTACACCCGCGGTTCCTGTCTTTTTGGGGCTCCCATGGCCAGGCCCAAGTCCGAAACACCAGACAACAAGCCCTCGGCTGCGAACTCCAAACTAGTCCGTGGCGCGTTTCGGGCTCACGGGGCTTACGGAAGCAATTCATAGGGAGGGTTCAGGACCTGGATTCGGGATTCTAGGTTCAGGTTCAGGGCTCAAGGGCGAAGAACCTTCCTGGACGCCTCCATCTTTCGCCTGCCTCTTGCATCACACACAGACAAAAGAAGACCTAAGAACTCGAACCAAAAACAGCACCAACTTGTTCAATTCCACACAAAATGCCCCTTGGCCCCCCCAGGTGTCTGGGAGGCCCGGGCGACTGGAGCCGGGGAAGAGATCACGGGGTTCAGCGCCCGGGCCGGCTTGACGGAGCGCCTCGCAAGGTTGGCCCAATATGGCCCAATATGGTTGGCCTTTTGGCACCTTTCAAGGCTCATGGGAGATCTCTGGCATCTAAAGATCTGTAGAGTTCTGGAGGGGTTCTGCTGTCAGTATGGCTGGCAGCAGTGGCAACACGATCCAATGCACAAGATCAAACGTATTGATGCCAGGATCCAAGCCTCCTGAGCCGTAGACAATGCCACTAACTTCTGAAGCATCCTGAACCGTTGCCCCTGATTCGCCAAAGCTCGGTGAGTTTTGGCTTTCCATCAGCAAGAACAACTCCTCAACTCAACCACTTAGAGCTGCCCAAACAAACTCGAACTCTGACCTCCGAGCATCCCGAAGCCCCCACACCCCAAAGCCACTCACCCGGCCAACCCTTTTGCCTGGGCTCGGCTCTCTTCGATGCCGGGCCGATGGCGGCTCTCTTCGCTGCCGGGCCCATGGCAAAAGATAGTGCTGGGAGCAGTCCCAATGCCTGGGCTCAAAAGGCAAGGAGGTCTGACATGATTTTCACGAACTGCGTGCATTTCAGTGGGCTTAGCACCGGAAACTGGGCGGACCCATGTGTTGGTTTTCTTTTCGAGGTAGGGGACTCCGGCTCACAGTTTTTCCTGGCTTCAAAGCAAGAAGCTGCGCGGCAGCTCCAGGCGAACCCTCAAAATCCCACACGATTCTAACAAACCTCGGTGTTTTGGAAGGCCGAATGGCCTTGTCGGCAACTGAGGCAACAACAAAAATTCCGAGCATCAGCATCCGAGCTTTGGCAAGCTTTGGCCTCAGTTTTGTGGCACGCAAACATGCCTGTTCCTGCGCGATTCTGCATGAAACAGAAGACGACGATGACATGAAGAGGCTCGCAGTGCCACAGTGGCTAAATGCACTCAAACGATAGCAGCCAGATGTCGGATTGCAGGCGTCATAAACGCGTGGGATACTACGAGGTCTTGGACAAGCAAGCAAGCCGCCTGCTCGCAAGGTGTGTCGTCACACGACCAACAGACATTCGCTCGAAGGTCCTGCGCAGGAATTTGCCAAAGCTGACCAAACGAGACAACTGGCCTGCCTTGTGCTCCGTTCGCCGCCCGCTACACTGCGCTTATTTGCGCAACACATCTTCGGCGCAAACCAAACAAAGTTTGAAAGTGACACCGTCTTTCTCAAGTGAAAATTACAAGTGTTCACCCCTACGATTCTTCAACGATTATGCAATGGAACGCCCAGTTCTTCCAAACGAATTTGATGGTCCTCAGTACTTGCAACCTACGCCGTCACCACATCCCTTCCACATAAAATGCGTAAAAACAAGTCTGGGAACACAATTGCACTTGGGCCATGGTCCTAGCATGGTCGCAAGAGTCGGCATAACGCAGAAGGGCGCGAACCAGAACGTAAATCAAGAACAATCTGGGGTTCTTCTTGGCACTGCATGTGTGAACACGATCATAGAAATTACAACCCGTACCCTCCCCTTTTCGCCACTGCATGTTGCTATGCAGTCCTGGATCCACCTGCAGCTAGACGTGCCATGGTCACCGGGCACGGCTCCAAAAGCAATGACCGCTGTGTCACAACACCAAAACCCACAATCAGCCACCGCAACAAAGCTATGCGCAATCAAAAAAACGCTGGCTAGACTTGATTGGACTCGCATCGGGCCAAAATTCACATACGAAAAGCCGATTACATGGAGATGCTCTTGATGGGACACGCGCCCACGCTTCTGCCAGCTGCCTGCTTCATCATCGTTGGCAATCAGACATGCTGACGGCCCATGTTCAACAGCAAGAACAGTTGATTGTCCTGTGGATGGGTGGCTTCAATCTTGCATCATTGTTGGCCAAAGCACGCTGTGAACGAATCCAGGGGGATTTCCCTGGATTTGTCCGTGACGTTGCTTCTCTACAACTCTGTACAGAACGGAGCAGTCCTCTTTTGAAGATGGCACACGCAGCACCCTCTTGACTCTTTCTCAATGCCTGGACTTGTCGCCAGGACTTCTGGTAGTTGCGTGCCTGCCGAGTTTTCCTAATCTTCCATCTCCATTTGCAGGTACCAAGATACCGCGGGGCACACGGCCTTGGACGCCGAGTCCTGGGTGAATCCCACGAAGCCATGCAGCTGCTGGGGCAGGCCTGGACCATTGAAATCAAGGTCGACATGAAACTTCAAGGGAACCGAGCACACACCAGAGGGAATTGCACCACCAGGAATGGTCTCATGCCAGAACTCCTTTTCCTCATCAGCCTGGACATCTTGGAAGAAATCGCTCAAGCCGGCCAGCACGTAGTCGTTATGGGGCGAGTAGGGTACACAGAGAGGGTTAGGACGACCCTGAATGCTTGGAAAGAAGACATGGAACCAGCCGTTGTAACCGACACTCAAGGCATCTTGATATACTGGCTCTCGGATACCGCACCTCTTGCACATGGCTTTCCAAAAGCATCCGCTGGCTCCCTTGCAGCTGCAGCCACAAATCGATCCAGCACTGGTAACAGCGCATGTAACCACATAGAGGCGAACTTTTCAGAGGTCAGTCTCTCGATCGCACGCTCAGCCTGGCTTCGTAGCTTGCGCCAATCATCGAAATCTCCTGCCAAAGTCACAGATGGAAAGCAGCACGTAGGGCCCCAATGGAACTCGAAGAACTTTTACCCATGAGGGCGATGCCTGTAGCGATCCGATCACTGCTGCCTGTTGTTGAAAACTGCGTCGTGAAGACTTGCTTTGCATCTGGCGTCATCTGTGCACTTAGTGCCTCGTCGAAAGCATCGATCATGTTGAGAACAGCTGAAGCGAAGCTCAGTTTACCATTGGGGAAGCATGCTTGTTCTTCAACCAAAACGTTCATTTGCTCGGTGCCTGCATGCTGCACCAAGCGCGAACGTACACCTTCCGGGTCTTCATTCACATGGCGCGAGATGGCCTGCTGAATAAGCAGCATAACATGGTCTGGTTTCAGGATTTAAGGCAAGTGCAGACGATGATGGCCGTGACGAATCCATGCTCCAAGACACCATCCTCCCTCGGGCTCACGAAATCTGCAACCACATTACACAGCTCCATATCGGGGTCGCCACAAGCAATGGTGCGAAAGCTGCTCAGCACAGTGTTGCCTTCACCCCAGCGCTTCTCGCTCCGGGGGGCCGACATCTGAAGAGCTTCAACGGAGTCTCCGTTCAACCAATCTTGCACGGTGTGCGTGGGAAGGACTGGTGCCTCATCGCGGGATTCGAGAGTCAGGAGCTCAGGGTTACCGCAAAGGTGCATTGCTGCACCTTCCGCCCCATCTGGCGGTGGCTGAAGCAGGCGACCTTCTCTGCTGCCAGGTCGTCCCATGGCATGACGGGCTTGGCATACTTCGCTGCAAATTGGGCGGCGTGGTCCCCAAGCCTT